GTATATCCATATTTTGAAATATATAATATACGTTTTGAAATTTTTATGTAAAAACTGGAAGAATTATGGAGAATAGTTGTGGAAATTTCTAAATTTCAATTTACTCTGATGTACTAGTGTATCCAGCGGAAAAATTGCAAAAAATGGTACATATTTCATTATTTATTTGTTAGTATTTATAAAAGAAAAAAAAAAGTTGAAGTTTAATTAGAAATACGAAAAGACTTTTTCGACTACCCAATCTTCTCATGGTTTCTTAATTTAATTTTCCAAATTGTAGTTTGTTTCATCCAGTTTCGAGACTACTCCACAAGTTTAACGTTGCTATGGATTTGAACAAAATAACTGATTAAAATAGTTTGAAAATATAAGTAAAATAGTTCTTTTGACCTATTTCAATTTCTCTTAATTTTCTTCCTAAAAAAATTTATTTATATTTAATTTCAACTGCTTGTTAGCTCATGAGCCCATAGAGTTGAAAACTGTAATACCACAGTAGGAAGAGTAGAAAAYATTTTCATGGTAGCTTTCTGGAGGRWGCATAGCGGCCTTCTTGGATTTTCAGTAGCAGCAACGAAGTGCTGCATATATTGAGAAGGTAAATACTAGACAAAAATTTTTATTAAATATAAATCAAAAATTATTTATTTATGGTATATTTTTATTAATAGATGATTCAAACGTCATGGTGTGTCATATTTCGTTGACATTGATTTACTGATAATGTATTGTRAGTATTGAGTTGTGTTCCTGGTGTTAGGTTTTCTACGGCTGCATTTATGTACATTTAAGCGACAGAAAACATCTTTTGCTTTTCTAAACCAATCTTGTTTTTTGTTTAACTTTAAATTCGCGTATTTTTTTWAAATAAATTATTTGTAAAATTATATTCTTATATCTAAATACAAATTCCAATTAATTTTCTGTTGTAAGGGCTAACCATTTTGTGTATGTATATATGTCCAATGAAAGACCAGGACTGTATATTTTTGAATGCAAAAGTTAAGAAATTTTTGAAGCGTGTTTAACACTTGTTTAAAAAACAACGACTTCGGTAACAAGTAACATCCCAGAAAAATTTAAGAAACATGCGAGGTAATTCAAAATAATCTGATGTTTAAAACCGTAGTAGAGGCTAATCAGATGATTGGAATTCATTATACTTGTATTAGGGATATAAGGTTTAGACCATGGTGTATAGACCAATTCCATTTTAATTCAGAGCTAAAGTACATGCATTTGTGGTCAGGTCAATAAATTAAAAGAAAAGAGAGAGAAAGTAACGGTAGAAAATAAAGACTCCGCAATGGGCTCTTCTACCAATGAGTCGTTCCTGCTTTAGTCATAATAACTGCCTTAACTCATTTCCTTATAACGGGACTACACCAAACAAGTTCCGAAATCTTTGATTTTTATTTGTTGGCTTCTATTTAGCAACTTCACTTAAGGACTTGCCGGCTACATTTTTT